GTAAACAAAAGACAATTTATATTTATTATAAATAATAAATATTTATTATTTATTTGATCAATTCAACTTGACAAGTAAAAGTGGAGTGGGCCGTGGGTGATGTCACATTCGCTTGGTCCACATCTTTATACAGTCTATTATTTACAGAAGTCACTTTTTATCACTTTATCTGTTTGCTTTTACTTAAATTATAATTTTAAAGTGACAGTACTCCTTTTTTTTCATTCAGGGCCTGTTTACACAAGAACACTTGCGGGTAAAAACGACAAAACATTTTATCGTGACGGTGATGGCGTTTTTGGGGCTTAAAAATGCAAAAATCTGAAACCACCCTCCAGAGTGGAAAAGTTGAATACGCTCCGCCGTAGCGTCTCCGTCTACATTGCCCAAGACGCAAAACTCTGGTCAGATCTGCTCAACATCACGTATGCATTTACGTCACATACATACAGTACACAGAAATCTGGCATGCTAACACAATCCTGAAAACGCTCGTCTAAACACAAATGTGACGACACGACTCCACTTTTGCGTCTTCTGTTCAGACCATCATCATATAAATGTAGCCTTAGTCAAGACTTCTGTTTTTTTGGGTTTTTTTTTTTACACAGTCTGTCTGTGTAATGATATTCACATTACTGCAAATCACCACTTTATCGTTAAGTATAATTATTTCAAAGAATAGCTCTGTGTTCCCTCAGGACTGATGTGCAATCTGGTGCATTTTACACGAACAATTTATAACTCTCAGCAACCTACACAGTATGATTTTTAAGTAATTTTAGGCTTCCTTTGAAACATGAGCAGGAGTTTTACACAGACTAAAGCTTCTATGAAGAAAAATAAAAAAGTTATCTTTGCAATTTATAATTTCACTTCCTGGTTGGGCATGTGCAGCAGCTGTGACATTCGTAGGGGCTTTTGTCAAACTGCCACTATGACTGATGGAAAAACTGTGATAAATATTTAGAGCTGAACAAAGTTATACTAAAAACAAACAAAAAAAACATGTTATATGTAAGGGTGTGCAAAAATATTGAAATAAATATATATTATATTGTTTAATGTGAGGATACAGTATCGGTATCGTGGGCTGCTGTATCGATATAGTATTTTTGGGTATATTTACTAAATTATTTTGTTACAGCACTACAGTTTTGTTGCTTATTCAGAGGAAGGAAACTCGTTTATGCGACACATTTGACTTTTTCACTGTTTCATATGAACTTTACACAAGAAGTGGTTTAACTTTTAATATCACACCCACGATTTAGCCTTTAATTTTTATTGAACTGTATCAGATCGAATTGAAATATATCATATTGAATCGTAGCGAATCGTAAGCTCACTGTATCTAGGTATATATCGTATCGTGGAGTATGTACCAAGATATGTATCGTATCGTACCCTATATATCAAGGTATGTATCTTATCGTAGCCTATGTATCGAGGTATGTATCGTATCGTAGTCTATGTATCGAGGTATGTATCGTATCGTAGTCTATGTATCAAGGCATGTATCATATCGTAGCCTATGTATCGAGGTATGTAATGGTATCGTACCCTGTGTATCAAGTTATGTATAATATCATAGCGTATTTATCAAGGTATTTATCGTATCGTAGCCTATGAATCGAGGTATGTATTGTACTCTATGTATCGAGGTATGTATCATGGCCTATGTATCGTATCGTAGCCTGTGTATTGAGGTATGTATCGTATCTAACCCTATGTATCGAGGTATGTATCGTATTATAGCCTATGTATCGAGGTATGTATCATATCGTGGCTTATGTATCGAGGTATGTATCATATCGTGGCTTATGTATCGAGGTATGTATCATATCGTGGCTTTTGTATCGAGGTATGTATCATATCGTGGCTTATGTATCGAGGTATGTATCATATCGTGGCTTATGTATCGAGGTATGTATCATATCGTGGCTTTTGTATCGAGGTATGTATCATATCGTGGCTTATGTATCGAGGTATGTATCATATCGTGGCTTATGTATCGAGGTGTGTATCATATCGTGGCTTATGTATCGAGGTATCTATCATATCGTGGCTTATGTATCGAGGTGTGTATCATATCGTGGCTTATGTATCGAGGTGTGTATCATATCGTGGCTTATGTATCGAGGTGTGTATCATATCGTGGCTTATGTATCGAGGTGTGTATCATATCGTGGCTTATGTATCGAGGTGTGTATCATATCGTGGCTTATGTATCGAGGTGTGTATCATATCGTGGCTTATGTATCGAGGTATGTATCATATCGTGGCTTATGTATCGAGGTATGTATCATATCGTGGCTTATGTATCGAGGTATGTATCATATCGTGGCTTATGTATCGAGGTATGTATCATATCGTGGCTTATGTATCGAGGTGTGTATCATATCGTGGCTTATGTATCGAGGTGTGTATCATATCGTGGCTTATGTATCGAGGTGTGTATCATATCGTGGCTTATGTATCGAGGTATGTATCGTATCATATGTATCATATGTGTTATGTATCAGTATATGTATGTATCGAGGTGTGTATCATATCGTGGCTTATGTATCGAGGTGTGTATCATATCGTGGCTTATGTATCGAGGTGTGTATCATATCGTGGCTTATGTATCGAGGTATGTATCATATCGTGGCTTATGTATCGAGGTGTGTATCATATCGTGGCTTATGTATGAGGTTGTATCATATCGTGGCTTATGTATCGAGGTGTGTATCATATCGTGGCTTATGTATCGAGGTGTGTATCATATCGTGGCTTATGTATCGAGGTATGTATCATATCGTGGCTTATGTATCGAGGTATGTATCATATCGTGGCTTATGTATCGAGGTATGTATCATATCGTAACCTATGTATCAAGGTATGTACGGTATCATAGCCTATGTATCGAGGTATGTATCCTATCGAAGCCTACGTATCGAGGTATGTATCATATAGTATCCTATGTATCGAGGTATGTATCGTATCGTGGTCTTTGTATCGAGGTATGGATCGCATCGTACCCTGTGTATCGGAGTATGTATCATATCCTATGTATTGTGGTATGTATCGTATTGTACTATATGTATCAAGGTATGTATCGTATCGTTGCCTATATATCAAGATATGTATTGTAATGTAACCCATGTACTGAGGTATGTATCGTATCGTGGCTTATGTATCGAGGTATGTATCGTATCGTAGCCTATGTATCGAGGTATGTATCGTATCAGCAACTTCTGCGTGACACCCAGCCCTTTTCATTTGCACTTTAAATGTCTATTATTTTACAAAAGATTAACTTACAACTGTGTAAGGAAGTGTTAATGTTACCAAAACACCATAATTACATGTTAAATAGTGGATGTTTACACTGTGAGGCTGTATGAGGGGCATGAGGGCGCAGAATCCCCAAAGTTTAACCCGAGCTGGAGGACAGGCCACAATTCTGTTTGTGTAATTTGCTGTGTAACCATCAACTTACAGATGTATTTATTTATTATACAAGTTAGTGGTTAGCGTCTCTGTAATTCCTGGGCCTATCTGCAAATAAACAAAAGCCAGTACAAAATTCAAGTCTACTCTGGTTGCATAAATACATATTTTTTTTCAGAAAGTGGTGCAATTACTCAAAACAGTGAAAAAGACGTGAATGTTGTCAGCTGAAATGAGATTAATATAACAAGTTTGAGGAGGGTGTGTTTATTTTCTGTACATGTGATGAAGTTATGTTGTTGCATGAGGGTGCGTTTGTTTTCTATACCTGAGTAAGACCAGTGAGGTTGTAGTGGTTGTTGTGTGGGTGCGTTTGATTTCTGTAACTGTGATGCTGTGATGTTGTTGTTGTGTGTGGGTGCGTTTGTTTTGCATACCTGAGGAGGAGCTGTGATGTTGTTGTTGTTGAGTGGGTGGGTGGGTGTGTTTGTTTTGCGTACTTGTGATGCTGTGATGTTGTTGTTGTGTGTGGGTGCGTTTGTTTTGCATACCTGAGGAGGAGCTGTGTTGTTGTTGTTGTTGTTGAGTGGGTGGGTGGGTGTGTTTGTTTTGTGTACTTGTGATGCTGTGATGTTGTTGTTCTGTGTGGGTGCGTTTGTTTTGTGTACTTGTGATGCTGTGATGTTGTTGTTCTGTGTGGGTGCGTTTGTTTTGTGTACTTGTGATGCTGTGATGTTGTTGTTCTGTGTGGGTGCGTTTGTTTTGCGTACTTGTGATGCTGTGATGTTGTTGTTCTGTGTGGGTGCGTTTGTTTTGTGTACTTGTGATGCTGTGATGTTGCTGTTGTATGAGGGTGTGTTTGATTTCCATGCCTGAGGAGGAGCTGTGATGTTGTTATGTGTGGAGGCATTTGTTTTGTGTACCTGAGCAGGAGCTGTGACATTGTTGTTGTGTGAGGGGGCATCTATTTTCTGTACCTGTGATGCTGTGATGTTGTTGTTGTTGTGTGTGGGTGCGTTTGATTTCTGTAACTGAGCAAGAGCGGTGATGTTGCTGTTGTTGTTTGGGTGCATTTGTTTTCTGTACCTGTGATGCTGTTGTTGTGTGTGGGTGGGTTTATTTTCTGTACCTGTGATCCTGTGATGTTGTTGTTGTTGTATGTGGGTGCGTTTGTTTTGTGTACTTGTGATGCTGTTTGAATGAGGGTGCGTTTGATTTCCATACCTGAGGAGGAGCTGTGATGTTGTTGCGAGAGGATGTGTTTGTTTTCTATACCCAAGCAGTAGCAGTGTTGTTGTGTGAGGGTACACTTGATTTCTTTACCCAAGCAACACCAGCGTTTGATTTCTGTAACTGAGCAAGAGCGGTGATGTTGTTGTTGTTGTTGTGTGTGGGTGCGTTTGTTTTCTTTATCTGTGATGCTGTGATGCTGTTGTTGTATGTGGGTGCGTTTGATTCCCATACCTGAGCAGGAGCTGTGATAATGTAGTTGTTGTTGCGTGGGTGCGTTTCTTTTCTATACCTGTGATGCTGTTGTTATATGAGGGAGCGTTTGTTTTGTGTACCTGAGGAGGAGCTGTGATGTTGTTGTTGTTGTGCGATGCCAGCGTCACATCTTCGTGAACTCGGTCCAGGAGCCAGAGCAGAAACTCCAGAGCGTCGTGTTGAGCGTTTCCTCTGAACTGGGCTCCGTACTTGGACACGATCGTCTGAAAAACACACGGCACAAACCTGATTCAATAACGTAAACTTGAATGGACACAATTGATAAATCTTTAAGTACCAAAACTTCTACCGCAAACAACAAAATATCCAGTTTTATTCTGTATAAAACGTGAAAGCGTGTCGTTTAAATCTGTCCAAACATGTTCGGAAATGTGATTCTTGTATTAGTTTGTCAGTTTTTATTTCAGTCTTGAAAACTAAAACTTGAACTCTGAACAGAATCCCAATTGTAAAACATAAATCGCAAATCTAATCACCATCACAATGCTTGTCAAATAATTGCAACAAGATATTTTTCCTCATATCGTTCAACCTTAGTCCCAAACAGTGTGGTGTGAGTCATGATGAAGGTTAAAGCTGCACTATGTAACTTTTCTGGTGGTGTCTTTATTTTCTCACCTGCTTGTCTCTGTGGAGATGCATTCCACGCGTTGCACGGAATGTTTCACACTTTGGTATTAAATATTTTTCTTCAAGACAAGCAGGTCATCCCAGAAATGTTACAGATAGGGGTGGACTTGATTTAAAAAAAATTAAATAATCTCAATTAATCACATAACAATATTTGCCTTATTCATTTACATTACTCATTTTTTTTCTGAAGCCCGTCATTTGTTCAAGTTTGGGCTGCTGACACTTGTTTGTACTCGGACCAGAACTGCTCCCGCCAACAGCAGCGGCAGTTTCTGTGCTCCCTGTCACATGTTTTGTATTTAAATGGTGTCGTAGGGTTGAGGTGCTTCTGTGATCTGCAAACTCTTCTCTGCGTAATTTGCAATAAACAACGCTTTTGTCAATACGGTAGTTTTTGGAATAGAAATTTACCGTCCAGCAGACCCAGAGCGCATTCATGCTCCATTGTTGTAGTTGGAAATGTGTGCGTCAGAATATTGGCTTACCACGACACTGTGCACTGACAAACGTTAATATTTTTAATGCATTATTTTCTTAGTAATTAATTAATCATCATTATTAACACGTTCATGTCCCACCCCTACATTTAATCATTAATATACCATTATATATACATTTTCTTGCTCATATTTATCAAGCTCACCCATATTCATAGTAGCCAGGCTGGTGCCACCTGGTGCCTCTGCTCAATTTAATTAAATTTTCTCCAGTGACTAGATCAGGAATCAGAATACACTAGACAGTTCGCAAAAACTCCTTAAGTTCGGGCACCAGCCATTGATCGAAGAGACATACATTCAGTGTCGTCAATGATTCCCGAGATCGAGGATTTAATATATATTAAATATGAACTATCTATATTAATAATAATAATACTATATTAATATTAAATAACTATCTCGATATTTTAAATATATCAAACTCGATATGAATTCTGACATATTGTATATATCGATATATTGCTTATATTCATATATTCAATTTTGATTTCACTGCTTTGCTTGTTTACCTTCTCTGTGTGCGCCCCCGCCTCCCTGATTTTGCTGCTTGTGTCTCCTTCACTCCTCACTATCTCCGTCAACGCTGAAAGTTGGTGCCAGTGAAAAGCTTCAAGCACCACGAACCTTTTCCAACATTTACAGAGAAGGCCACCAGCAGCACATCCTCATGTTCCACCGAGTCGCGTCCTTTCGCCCGAAAGAAGCTAAACGAGCTGAGCTGCATGAGAAGTGCTGTTTATGCAAATGAGCCATGCGCTTAAGATTCGTTTCTGTAAAATGTAAACACACGTGCGCAAAACTGCATTAAACACATTATTATCGCAAACGGGCTGATGTGGCTCTAGAGTCGTTATGCGTTTATATATTGTTAAGTTTAGTAATGTAAAGTCTATTTATGCAGAAGATTTTAATTAATAATCTGCTGCAGTGTCACTTGTACAATTGTGTTTGGAAACGTTGGGTTTGATCTGCAGTGGATTGTGGGAAACCTCAGAGCTCCTCACTGCTGGACAGGAACATGGATCTATTAAAATAAGGAACATCCTGAGCTTCTTCTGCTAAAGGAGCTCATGGTTCTGGTTCTGGTCTGGATAACAGAGTTAATGCAAAGATGAGCTTGTGTTGAGTTGTTTTATTCATGAATGAAAAGAAGGAAATATGTATTATTTATTTTATTTTACAGTTAAATTATTATTTATGTAATCAGGGTTTTTGTAATCTTAAATGTTCCTCTTACACTTCAATAAAAAAAAAAAGACCTTGTGGAATTTGACATATTTGTTTTTGCAGTTTTCAGTTTTAGGGGGTTATTTTTTCCTGTACAGATATCGAGATATATATCGTATACCGAGATATAGCAAAATATATCGAGATATATATTTTTGATCCATATCGCCCAGCCCTAGTGTGTGGAGTTTAAAAACACACCGGAGCACTTCCTGTCTCATCACATCACAAGGTGGAAGTGTTTTCTTTTTGAGAATTAGAAGAAATATGCAGGATTTGTGTGTTAAACATGTGTGAATGAAACAAAACACAACTCCAGGTCTGTTTGTGATGAGAAAACAACATAGTGTATAATAATAATAATGGCCCGTTAAAGGTGCCCTCTCTCGTTGTCGACTTCTCACAGACAGACAGCAGCAGCAGCACATCCTCCCCTCCTCGCTGCACCAGGCTTAATCCTCTCTCCTCCTGAGACTTGTCATTACCTCTGCCACCTGATCTCATAAGCACCACTTAGAATATGTATTTATCCTGCAGAGTCCACACTGCCCCAGAGCTGCTGCACCCTTCATTACCTCATCATAACTACCACTCTCCGGTGCACCAGCGGCCCGGACCTGCTTTAGTTATTGCTTTCTCTGCGCGCCGGGGATTAGCTCGCCGTTTCTCACGAGTGACGTCAGAGGGAGCAGGTTGGTGTGGGAAAAGACACGGACCAGAGCGCCAGATTTGGGACACACCAGGTCGGGATTGTTGGTAAAGGGAAATCAGACGTTGCTATTTACCCGGGACAGACCAAGTTTTGAGCCCTGTGTCCCCTGTCCCATCAGATTTATACAAAACCAGTGCTCTGTCCCAGGTGTCCCTATTTTGACCAGGATGATGACCAGGTCTAAACCAGGATTAAAAGAGGACTATCACAGTAAAGAAAAGTTTGCAAATGACAAAGCAAAAAAAAAGCAGTGAGAGAAATTCCTCAGATTATGACTGACACGAGAATGCACAAGTGGTAACGGAGGGAAACGGGCAGATTTTTTTACATTCAAATGTCTCTTATTCAGAAACTAGAGGAACTATTGAAATAAGTAAAGTATCAGAATGTAGGAAAGAGTTACACTCCAACAGGGTCAAGTTAAACCTGTGATATTCTTTCAAGTTGTTGACAAAAAAAAAAAAAACTCATGTCAGTAACGGAGGGAATGAAATATGCAGCACTTTTTGGGAAATAAACACAAACAGTGATAACTAGTGGTTCTCACTTACATATCCTTAACAAACTGGTTTGAATATTTGCTTCATATAGTTTTCTACCATATGGTACAAGATTAGGTTGAAAAACCTCTTACTTTTTGAGTAATGAGATTTTTTATTAAGAAAGGTCATGGTAACGGAGGGAAAAGTAACGGAGGGAAAATTGTGCAAACAAGTAGAAGGTGCAGGATTTTACATAATTTGTCAACTTTTTTCTTCCGAATACTTTAATATTACTTCAAAATGAAAGGAAAACTATTTCTATAAAATATGTCAGTCCTTCCAAGCTAATTTTTATCATTTTAAATTTTTTATTTTTTTTTGAAAAATCATGTACCTTCATCAACAGTTCAAAGATGGAATAACACAAGATATGATGAAATACATCCATTTATTTACATGATTTGCAGGTCTTTGAAATTTGGGAAATAATTTTTCTTCCATGTTTCATACATGGTCTGTTTAAAACATATGTAACTTTAGAACCAAAAATGGTACAGAAAAAAAGGTCAACAGTTTCATAAACTAGAGTACATATGTATCTGTTGAATACATTTTTATATCAGATGCATTAAGTTGAATTTTTGGCCTTGCTGTTTACTTCTGCTTGACCGGGCGGAGAGTTACACGCTCTTTTCACAATTTTATTTATACCAACCGTCCTAACCCGGGTGTGTCCCAGTTTAGAATTTTGAAAATCTGATCACCCTAGGTTGGTATGAATAAACTTGTGAAATTTGTTTGTTTTTGCCTCATGATCATTTTCACGCACAGTTTTGTTTATTTTAGCTAAACAAATGACAAAAATATTCCCCTCTTTACTGTGTGAAGAATCCCTCAGTTTTCCAGGTAGAATTCATGGCAAAGGAGAAATTCAGTTTGTCAACTGAGGGGACATATTAGCATGATCATTCAGGCCCCAAATGAGGGTTTTCAAACCTCTGGCCCTGACCTGGCTACCCCTGTTGTTCTCTTTGTTTTAGGATTGAGGATGGAGTTGTAGAAGGGACATAGGCCTCAGACATCATCTGTCTCCCATATCGAAAATCAGAAACTAATCAGTAAAACTAAGACTAGAACAGAAACCTAGATACTCATTTAAGCAAGAATCGATACTGGAAAAAAGACCACATAATACACAAGTGCCATATATTGTTTGTTTCGTTTAATGCGCCTTATAATCCGGTGCTCCTTATGTATGAAAACAGACGAGAGAATTCAACATTATTGATAATGTGCCTTATTGTCCGGTGCAAAAAATATGGTTCTATTATTTTGTGTTGAAAATCGCAATATTGTCTTACAAAAAGCTTTTAAAATGATCTTTTGGGCATCAAAATCAGTATCAAGAATCAAATTTATTCTTAATAGGTACTGAAATTGGGTTTGAATGTTTAGTATCATGACAACACTACTACAAATACACACAACACTACTACAAATACACACAACACTACTACAAATACAGACAACACTACTACAAATACACACAACACTACTACAAATACACACAACACTACTACACAACACACACAAACACACTACAAATACACACACACTACTACAAATACACACACTACTACAAATACACA